TCTAGGGTCTTTGAAAAAAAATCTCTCAAAATAACCCCTTTGGAATTTCCAAAAACAATTACCATAGCCTTTTGAACGGATTCTTCGACTTGAATTTATCTTTGCTGCCTTCCTGGCCTCCCTTAAAGCAATTGATCCCTCTAAAGGCTCAGTCAGTCGAACAAGGCCTGGGGCCTTTTCCAGGACAGGCAATTTACTTGTATGTCAGCTGAAGTTGAAGCTGAAGATGAAATGGGTTCACTAGCGCCAAAAAGACAATGTTGAATATATTGCACCTGAATGTAAAAACCATCTCCAACTTTCTTTGACATTTTGATGACTAACAAAAGACCAGACAGGTTGTAGGAGAACACCAAAGAGAGGAACATGAAGAAACTGAAAGGTCATGAAAAAGGCAGGGAAGAAAGAAAAGAACAAAATGGATGTAGGAATTGCTCTAGAACTTCGAGAAGCGACAGTGAAAGAAAGAAAGACGTGACCTGAGCAGGAGACTTGTAAGGCAAAGTAAAGTCTTACAATGAAACCATTTTAGGGGTAGTAAGTAGATAATCCAGATTTTATTGTATTGAATCTGATCTCATTGTATTGAAAGAGGAAATCCAGGCTGCACTGAAGGCATTGATTAAAAAAACAAAGCAAGCCTCCAGGAATGGAGTCCATACCAACGGAAATGGTTCAACACACTAATGCCATCCATGTAGGAGGGGCTCACTAATGTATGCCAAGAAATGAACTACGGCGACCTAGCCAATCGACTGGAGGAGATCCATATTTGTGACCACTCCAAGGAAAGGCGACTCAGCGGAGTGTAGAACTTACTAAAACAATATAAACAAAAACAAAAAAACATCGCAAGTACTAAAGGCAAGTCAAACTCTGCTGAGTTCCTTAGTAGTTGTAGCTGTACATCAACAGGGAACTGCCAGAAATTCAAGACTGGATTCAGAAGAGGATGTATCAGATAGATGTCAGCTGACAGCAGAGAATATCAGAATGATTGCCTGTGTTTCATTGACTACGCAAGGCATTTGACTGTGTGGATCATAACAAATTATGGGTAACATTACCGAAAATGGGAATTCCAGAACACTTCGATTTGCTTGTGGGGAGCTGTTCTTAGACTAAGAGGTAGTTATTTAAAATCAAGAAAGGTCTGCGCCAGCGTTGTATACACTGAGAAAATAATCTGAAGCTGGACTATATGAAAAAGAATTGGGGCATTAAGATTAGAGGAAGGTTTATGAACAACCTGTGATATGCAGATGATATAATCTTGCTTCCTGAAAGTAAAGAGAATTTGCTGGAAGACTGAAGCCTTCAATATGAATTATGCCTCAATATCTACATAAATAAAAATTGTTCACAAAGTAACATCACTATAAATGAAGAAAAAAATGAAATTGACAGGAATTTAGTTTCATTTTTGAAATAGCTGTATTGGTATATAATTCACATATCATACAATTCGATAGTTCGATCATATTAAGAAGAGTTGTACAATCATCACAATCAATTTTAGAATATTTTTTCTTGTAGTCATTGTTACCACTCCATTTCCCCCTAAACCTCCCCTACCATGCCTCTAGGTAATGAATCCACTTACTGTCTTATAGATTTACCTATCCTGGATTTCACATACAGAAAAACATACAAACAAAACAAGAAACAAAAAAGTTGAACAAATATGACAAAATGAAAAAGAAAAACATCAATCTAAAAGAAAGCAAAAAATATTAAAAACTGAAGCAAATGAAAATGAGTTAAAAGGGGGATCAAGTGCTAAAGTTCTACATTTTAACCTAGCTACATCTGCCATATTGACTTTTTAATGCTCACTGTCTGATAGTGAGGCTGTTCACACTCCTGGACTGTGGTCAGAGGGGATTCACCAGAGGATTAATCCACCTAGGGATCCTGCAAATGGATTTTGGGCTTCCACTGACAGCCAGAGCTTTCTGCAAATCAGATGAACAGAACTTAAGTTCTAATATGATTCCTTCCTCAAATCTGGATTTTACTATTTACAGTCTTTGAATCACTCAGGCTGGTGTGCTTCTTCCATGTGGATTTAGTTTGTGCCTCACTTCAATGGCTGCTTGTTTTAAGACAAGGCTTTAAGACTCCAGATGCTATTCTTTCTGGTAAGTGGGCACCATCGGATTTCTTAATTAAACTTTAGTATCCATATCTTCAGGGATTGCCTTAATTTTATTTTGATCCACAATCAACATCTATATAGACAGTATCAGGAAATCACATGACATATTGCAGTGGGCCTATCGGCTGCAAAAAAACCAAAAACATTAATAAATAAAACATGGGTGGGGAACCTTTTCTGGCATTGGCCATTTGGATATTTATAACATCATTCAAAGACCATACAAAATTATTAACTTAAAAATTAGCCTGATGTCTTTGGTTAACTCACCCCTAACGTGATGACTGAAATTGCTTTTCTTTGGTGAAGCACATGCGTTGGCTGGTCTGGCTGATTTCGTGGGCTGGAAGTTCCCCACCCTGCTTTAAAGTATTAAAACGTTTAGATGTTACTCTGAAAACTAAGATGCAATTGACCGAGCTGTAGTATCTTCAGTAGAGTACGAAAATGCCATTTTGTGTTCTAAAGCTGGAAAATAAGTAAGCAAGACAGAACAATTCATGCCTTTGAATTGTGGTGTTGGCAAAGAACATGAACTCTACCACTGGCTGCCTGAAGAAAGAGCAAGGCTGTCTTGGAAGAAGCGCCGCCCGAATAGCCCTGAGAAGTGAAGCTGGTGTGGCCTCTCCCTTCCTTTGACATGGGATCTGGGAGACCCGTTTCTAGAGAAGGTCGTCATGCTTGGTAAAGTAGAAGATCAGCAAAAAAGGAAAAAGTTCAGAGAGGTGGATTGACACAGTGGCTACAAGGATGGGCTCAAACATAGCCATTGTGAAGATGGCGCGGGACTGGGCAGTGTTTGGTTCTGTGGTGGTAGGTCGGGTTGCTACAGCATCTAACAGCAACAATAATCACAGTGAGAACGTGCCTGCATCCATCCACTCATCACAGAAACACTTTTCAACACATTTTGTTTGCAAGGAACCTGTGAGCCTATGAACTGTAACCCGAACAGCAGGTCCCCCCCTCCTTTTTTAACTTAGACCCTCATACATTTGAAATTGATGGTTGGATAAAGCCACGTCTCTAAAAGGCAAATTGAAAAACTTCTATAAGGTTATAGTGTTATTGGGAACCGATCACAATGATCGACCTATAACCCCCTCCCTGGGGGATGGACAACAGAAAAGTGGGTGAAAGGAGACATCGGTCAGTGTAAGACATGGAAAAATAATAATAATTTATAAATTATCGAGGGTAGTGAGGGAGGGAGGGGGGGAAATGAGCTGATACCAAGGGCTGAAGTAGACAGAAAATGTTTTGAAAATGATGATGGCAATAAGTGTACAAATATGCTTGACACAATGGATACATGTATGGATTATGATAAGAGTTGTACGAGCCCCCAATAAAATGATTTTTTTTAAGTTATAGTGTTATTACTAAGATAAGCTCTAATGACTAATTCAACTTCCTTAAGGTAGCTGAAATTAAAATTAAAAATCAATGGAATGTTATTGAAAATTTTTAAGAACTGAAAATGTTTTAAATTGTTCATTACATCTTTGAAGCCCAGAGAGGAACTGACTAGGTTTTTAATATAAAAATCACAATGTGTTAAATATAGGAGCCCTAGTGGCCCTGTCCAGTAAATGTTGGACTGCTCGTCTCAAGGTCACCAGTTCAAGCCCAGCATACCCTCAGTGGCAGAAATATGAGGCTGTCTGCTCCCATGTGATTCACAGCCTTGGAAGCCCAAAGGGGCCACTCTCCCCTGTGCTATAGGGTCTCCGGGAGTTGGCCTGCACCCCATAGCGGGAGGATGCCATTTTGGAGGAGAGACTTGAGCATCTTCAGATGGAGGTATCCGCTGAGGTCCTGGAACCAGCCCTCTGTGATACCAAGAGAAGACTGTATGTAATGACAGCTCTTTGGGTTTTATGGTGTAACGGGTTAACAAAACAAACTATTCAAAGACAAAATAATAAGTAAAGTTCTCATCTTGGAATTATTCTATTGTGCGAACAGATCTAATTTCAGTTTCATTTATAATACTATATTTTCTATTAAATATATTTTCAGTTAAAGTCTCTATAGTTCCAAATCTATTTGTGTGGTCCACACATGAATTAAATCTTTGGTGAATCCCCTTTGATCATAATTGAAGGATGTGAATAGCCTTGGTATCAGACAGCATTGTAAAGTTGATTGTGGTAGAAGTAGTTCGGTTAAAATGTAACAACATTTGATCTCCCTTTTGGCCCATTTTAAAGTTGTTTCAGTTTTTAAAAACTGAAGGGGAAGTACACGTGGATGAAATCTGCTTCATCTCCTCTGATGTGGACCCGGGATGTGGATGGCCTTGCTTCCAGGCTGCATGCATTGGAAAGTTGCTGATTGCAGAGGCAGTTAGGTTAAGATTGATCACTTTATGATTTCATCTCCTCTTGAATCCATTTTAAATTTGTTCTAGTTCTTAATATTTCTGATTTCTTTTCGATTGAGGTTTTTATGTTTTACTTTGTTATCATTGTTAATTTGGTGGGTTTTTAAAAGATGTTCTTCTGTACATGAAATGCAGGGTAGGTAAATCTACAGAGACAGTAACTGGATTCGTGGTTCCTTGGGGGGACGGCAGGGAGCTTGGGGGGCAACGGGGAGCTACTGACGGTGAGCTCAGAATGGAGACACTGTTCTCAAACTGATTGGGGGGGGGGCCTGTGCAGCTCTCCTGGATGTGACTGAACTGCTATGGAATTGGATGAGATGTAAACGATATGCCAAGAAAATGGTTTTTAAAAGGCTATATGCTTCCATATTTCCACAGATATTAGTAAAGGTGTTCAGTTATAAATCTACAATGTCATATACAGTCAGATGGGTTTGTTGATTTTGTAGGCAGAAGATGCTGATGAGGCCATGAGTAAATACCTATCAGAAAAACTAACGATGAAAGACACATGGCTCGGTGTCTGGAAAACGAATCCCGAACTATTCTTTGTGAAATACGAAGAAGCTGCCATCCCGTTTGTTGGTATCCTCGTTGAGGTAGCTCATCTTTATCTGATCTCTGTTCTTTGAATTAAATCATCAGATTTTTTTAAGATGATGAAATATGACCTTGCTAAACTTGTGGATTTGATATTTAATATGTAGGGTGACAAAAACTTCTGTTTTAAACTTCTAAGTAAATTAGTAGGATAAAAAAAGGGGAAGGATGAGCACCCATGTAAACTGTTATCATGCAGCAGTAGTATCAGACAATATTTATTCGCCTAGTTACAGTTGCTGAAATAACCTAAAAAGAACAAAAGTCATGTCTTTGAAAAACTAGTATTTAGGCCTTAACAAACGTGGGGCATTTCCTACCATATCCCTTCAATCCTCATCTGTCTGATCAGGAAATTATTATTAAGTTCGATTTTTTTCCCCTTTGGAAAGTACCCTTTTGGCATAATACATCACCTTCCAGGATTTCATCTGATCTGCTTTTGCTTTTTTTTTTATCTGTAGACTAAATATTGTGGCATATGATATCAAAAATATGATTAAGCATCAGCACAGAAAAGAACCTCTGTAATTACAAACTATACCCCAGCTTTAGGTAGCGATCTCAAAGCTGCCATTTTGGTTACAAGAAAAATTTGGCTTTAGAACTCCTTATATTACATATTAATTAAAAACAAATGCAAATTATATGTTCCATGGAAAAATATCACTCCCCATCTGTCGGTTTGTCATACTGTGATATCCTATGTGGTGTTGCTATGATGCTGGGAACTCTAGTACTAGTATTTCAAATGACCAGGAACACTCCCCCTGGAGGACAGTGTTCAGTGGAGCTTCCAGACGGAAACAGACTAGGAAGAAAGGGCGACGACCTAGCAAAGCTGGCCAGTGAAAACCCTGTGAATCACCACAGAACACTGTCTCGCACATGCCAAGGGGCACGAAGCTGCCCTTGCGCAGGGCGATATTTTGCTCTGACATGCTTGCGGGTGTCCTGAGTCAGAGCTACCTCGACGGCAGCTCACAACAACAAAGGGAACGTTCGCTACTGGCATCTTTACAGCTAGAGACCTGCATATTTTCAACCACAGAGACGCCAAAGGAATACAAGAATCTTAGAATGAGTTGATTTTGCAATAATATCCTATTTTTAGTGATTCCTGGAGGCTTCCTCATAGCGTTTGCCTGGAGTTTTCATAACTTCTCTGGACATGTTTCATCTGGATAACTAGAGGAAATTGGTCATATCAGTGGCTTTAACGTCATTCTTTTCTCTCTCTCTCTCTCTCTCTCTCTCCTAGCAATATAAGATGCTTGTTTGTTTGTGTTTGCCATCAAGTTTTATATGGAAACCCAACCTGTATAACTCATCAAAACCTTTCTGACCCAATGAGAGAGAGTGTCCTGGCATCGCTTACTTTACCATCAACTCCTCAGGGCAGCCTCCTTCATTCAATAAGAACCTATCTAGGTCCCTGAAGTTCTGTGGAAATGCCATGGTTTAAGCTATAGCAACTGCCTAGAAGTTCTCAGGCTTTATCTGAAGTACACTACATCTATTCAGGCTTATCTAGCTGTTCTTTTGAAGACAAACCATTTATATCCTTCTGTTCTCAATTCTGGATTTTGAGTCTCTAGACCTGCTGGACAGCTGACCTCTTAGAGCCTCCTTCCATGACCAGCCTTGGATTTCCTCTCACCGTTCTCTCATGCGAACAATGTTTCCCAGATGTCTTCCTTTTGTTCTTGGGGCATTCTCTCACTTTGACCAAGGATTTATCCAGTGAAGGCACAAAGCTGATAAAACTATTAAGATCTTGTATGCTTGAAAAGTTCCTCATATTTATTGGATCACATGACTCACTCACTACTGCTAACGTTAATTCTGACCCGGCACAACTGGATATCGGATGGAGAGAATGGCGTTCTAGGGAGTCTGAAGCAGTAGTCTTTATGGAAGCCGACTGCCTCATCTGTCTGCAGAATGGGTTCAAACCACACACTGCATGACCAGGGCTGTTTGATAATTTGACTAGGTACCTGAATCCTTGGTTCTAATTTGTGCACAAAATTTGGAAAAACTTTTTCCATTGTCTTTGAACTTCCAATGTGGCTGGCTGAGAAACCAATGCCAATGCCATTCTGGAACTCGCTCCGTGGATGAAAACCAACAGATTTTTCACCTCTTTGAAAACTTGTGGGCTTCTCCCTTTGTCCCAGAGTCTTCCACCGAAATCGCCACAAAGGCAGACTGAAAGAGGGAAATGAAACTCAAAAAGAATAGGACAGGAGAAAATAGCAACAAAAGGTAAAAAGTATAAAGTAACTGACCTAGTAACGCTACGAAGATTGTGATGAAGAAGTTGAAGAGTTCCCAACAACTTCAGTTAACATTTGATCAAACACGCAATCCAGGTGCCTTGTAGTTTATTGGGGACTGGAAAGCAAACGTTGGAAACAAAGCAGAGGGAACAGTAGTTGGAAAGTATGCACGTGGTTTTAGAAATGAAGCTGGAGGTCTCATGACAGAACTTGGCAAAACCGATGACTTGCTCAGAGCAAAGGCCTTTTCCAACAACACAAAAGGTGACTCCACACCTGGACTTCCCCCGATGGAACACACAGAAATCACATTGGCTACATCTGTGGGAAGACACAATGGAGCAGCTCAATCTCAGCAGCTGAAACCAGACCAGGGGACGACTGTGGAACAGACCAGGAAGGGCTCATAGGTAGGTTCAGGAGAAAGCTGAAGAAAATGAAAACAAGTCCACAGGAACCAAATATAAGACCTCAAGTCGTCTATCCTACCTGAATATCGAGAATATCTCAAGACCAGAGTTGATGCATTGAACACTGTTGACAGAAAGCCTGATGAGGACATCAAGACCATCATCTCTGGGAAAGCAAAAGGTCATCAGAAAGCAAAGATCCAAGTGGATGTCAAAAGAGACTCTGAAAGTTGCTGTTAACCATGGAGCACCTAAAGCAAATGAAAGAAAAGATGAAGTCAGTACAACTGAAAGCTCTGGACTACATATGAAACAAGCCTAAGAAGACTCTGAAAATCAGATATTAAATCAACTAGGGATACAGGGACCCAGGGAATGAAATGGCCGAGAGTTTTCCAGTCTTGCCTTTTGCTTTAAAGTCCCTGATCTGGGGACTGCAGGAGCCAGCAATGCCGAAATGCCAGCAAGTGCATACAAACAAGAAAGCGTCCGGTTTCTAGGGTCCAAAGACCAAGATGGGCAGTCGTCGCAAGCCCCATGAGAACAACCACTACTCTTCTCTTCCACAGATGAAGAAGGCCAGGTACAGAACCTAGACTTTGAAGCATGCATCGCCAGAGAAGACCAGTGGGAAGACTGACGGGGAACTGAGTGATCAAAGGACCATGTCATTCCGCCCCTCCGGTGGTGTCAATGAAGATTCTAGGGGGAGCCTGGACTGTATCATGCTACCCAGCCACCCGGCATTAAGAAAGAATCTCTGTTAGACGAGATCTCGCGTCAGGACAGGACTCTTAACATCCACCGTCTCGGCAGAGTTCTAGTGGGGAGCCTAAAGCGGCAGTGCCTCTTCTCTTCACCAGAGGCCAACAGAGACGAGGAGAATCTAAACAACCCTCCCCATGTGGCAGTAAGAAGTTAGCAGCCTCCTACCTCTTTTTCCACCAGACCAATGTCAGAGTGAACTTGCTAAAACAGAAGATCCCTAGTGCCCTAACCCAGTCCTCAGAATGTTCAAGCTCAATCGAAAATCACGTTTCATACCCAGAATCAGGACGATCTCAACTTGAAGGAGAGAAGCTAACGAAATGGTAGGATGCTCTGACAAGGATTCTACAGCGGTTTTCATAAAAATGCCATCAAGTGCGCACATGAAACAAATGGGGAAATAGATATAACCATAGCAAAGCATAGAAACCTTCACAAAGAAATAAAAGATATAAAGAAGAACCAAGTGGAAATTTTAGAACTCACAAAAAGGTAGTAACCCAAACAGACATTTTAGTGGATAACAATGAAGAGGACAGAGGAAAGAATCCATGAACACGGAGATCCGAAACAGAAATGATTCCATCTGAACATCAGAGAGGCCATAGACTGAGGCGGGGAGAAAACAACATAACCTCAGAGACATGTGCAGTGTCACGCAGGACTAGAACTCATGTCTTCAGAGACTCAGAAAAGGAGGGGGGGAAAGAAGGAGGAGGAGGAAGACATAAGCATACAGATTCAGACAGTTCGGGTGCATTCTAAATGCAAGGAATCCAAACCAAGACACTTGGTGGTCAAACTTCTTGAAAATAGCTGAAGCATGTTACTCGAGGGAGAAATGGAGTGACAGAAAGTCTCTGAGGGGGAACTATGGGGGCGCAAGAAGGAAATGACACATTTTGCAGTGCTGTGAAAGAAACCACTATCAACCAAGCATCATCCAGAAACATCCTCCACAGAATTCGCCGCTGCAGGACGACAAAGATCACTTGTCACCCGTTTACTTGCTCTACAAAAATGGCTGAAGACTTCCGCTGCGCAGCAAGGAACCTCGGAAGAAGCTGGGCACATCAGGAAGGAAGTGCGAGGCAAAGGGAAAAACACGGCGATAAAGACAACCGACTCTGCTTTGGGCTTTGAGTTTTCTCCTTTTTTTTTTTTTAAATTTTAGAAAGATACTGCATTTGGACAGATCTGTAGCAAAAGACGTCTTTAAAGTCTGCGAAAAGCAGCACACCAACATGTGTGATCATGAAGGGCCAAAGGGACCAGGCTTCAAACCCCAAAGGCGGGGAGAAAAATCATATCCTCATCAATGAGGGTGGCACGTACTGGGGACCCAATGCCCATCTCTAGACAACTGGACATACCTTGCAGAGGGGTAGGGGGGAGATGAGTCACTTAGGGTTCAGTATAACAATAATGAAACCCACAACCTTTCTCTAGTTCTTAAACGCTTCCTCCCCCCAACTACCAGGACCCCAATTCTGCCTTGCAGATCTGGCTAGACCAGATGATGCACAGCGGTACAGATGAGAATTGGAAATGCAAGGAATCTAGGACAGATGAACCACTCAGGACCAGGGGTGACAGTGGCGATACCAGGAGGGAAGGGGGGTGTAGAAAGGGGGGATTGATCACAGGGAGCTACATATAGCCTCCTATCTGGGGGATGGGCAACAGAGGGGTAGGTGAAGGGAGACGCCGGGCAGTGTAATATAAGATATAATAATAATTTATAAATTATCAAGGGTGCATGGGGGAGGGGGACAGAGGAAGGGAGGGGAAGGAGGGAAAAAAGGAAAATGAGCTGATTCCGGGAACCCAAGAGGCAAGTGAATTTTGGGAATGATGAGGGCAACAAATGTATAGATGTGCTCTACACAATTGATCTATATATTGTGATGAATTGTATGAGCCCCAATAAATTGATTAAAAAAAAAAAAAGAAAGGCTTCGAAAAGCAAAGATGTTACTTTAATGAGTCAGGTGCACCCAGACCAGCCCCCTGGTACTTTCCATCCCTCTGTAGGCATTCAGTCCAGTGACAAAGGAAAATGCAAGCATAACTGATGCCTTTGAATTAGGATGGCAGAGAAGAATATTGACTATGCCAGAAATACCTGAAAACAATGTTGATGCGCATGCACTTGAACCTTTTCACAGTTGATTATTGGGAAGCATGTTTGGTGTCAATAGTTCAGATGATATATTTCCATGTTAAAACCTCGAGGGCACAGACCCCGTGGTTCTCCAGCGGTTCTCCAGCACAGCTATTGAGCGCCTGCGGGGACTGAGCACGGTACTGCTGCAGCGTGGTCACGCCGCCTGGGGACTTTATTCTTGAGGATGCCCTTTTGCCTTTTTTTGATACCTAGTTGGATTGTCTTTCTTTTGCAAGTGATATGATGTAGGTAATGGTTTGGTTTTGAAGCATACTCGAGAGGCAACATTAGTCTAGTTCTTACACACACAAAAAGTGTTACTGGTCAATGAAATCCAAAGTCTGGCCATTCAGAAATAAGAAGAGATAGGACATTCCTCTCCTGATACCTAAAAACCCCTATGTTTAAGAAGTAAATTTTGAAATAGGGCTGCTGCTTCATTTATATGGATCTCGAATTGCCCTACATGTTGCTTGTTAGAGAGGGGAAAGAGGGGAAACTTGATCCTTTGGTCATCTATGAGACACCCTTGGGGTTTCTTGGATTCGTAATGACGCATCTCATCGTCTTTCTCTTAGGTGACTTGTAAACCACGCCAAAGCTCCTCCTCTTGTTTCAAAGTTACAGTTTCTGTTGCTGAGCCTTTTTCTTCCAATATTGCCAATATTCCAAGGGACTTGGTGGGTGAGATTCTGGAAGAGCTGGAGCACAGTGTACCGCTCTTGGAAGTGTATCCGGTTGAAGGACAAGATCCCAATATCCACGATATTGCTCTAGCCTTGGAAGTTGTAAGGTATTTAGGCTTACTGCCTCTGAAAGTCAAAGTTATGTTCAAAAAGTTAACTCAGTATGTAAGTGTTCCCCACACCAGCACATTATACATCTTCATTGCCTTGCTCTTTTGTCACTACTAGATTGAATTTGTTCATTTTTATAATGAAGATATTTTATATGTAACACTTTTAGGTCAAATGTATATATATATATATATATTGCCTGAGTATTATATTTGGCCATTGAAAACCTTGCCATTGTTTGATCTTGCATTTTATAACAATTAAGTTTGAGCATATTAAGAGATAGCAACATTAAATTCTGTCCATATTTAAGCACTTTAAATATATTTGATTTCTTTTTTCAACATTCAGTGTACTGCAAATAATAGATGTCACCATTCACATAGGGTGCTTCTTACAAAGTTGATATAATTTGAGAAAAGTTATCCATGCAAAAGCAGAATTTTTTAATGCATGTTTTTGATTCTCTAATGTGTGCCCTCTCCCTGTCCCCCCTTGAATTTTAAAATTATATTTTAAGCATTACTTCTTTGGTGCTCAGAATTATAGTAAAAATCTATAAAATTTGGACCATTAGGAAATGTCTTATGGGCAGTTATAACCTAAAATTGATCCAGGATCATCTAATTTTTAAAGTTTTGTCTTTTATGATTAGCTCATTGATCAGTCATTCATAGTATATTTTCTAACTTTTAAGATTTATGTAGAGAATTCTGACATCAGAAGAGTGTTTTAATTCTAAACCTGGGAGTGGCGATGTGATCTCTACCATCTTAGTTTGCTTTATTGTAGGTTTTTTTATGACTTTCTTTGGAGAGACTGGGATGATGAAGAGAGTTGTGAGAATTATACTGCTCTGATCGAAGAAAGAATTAATTTGTGAGTATAGTTTAGAAAATGATTCAGTACACAATAGAAGATAAGCATTGTAATTAACGTGCATCTTTGCAGGTGGTGTGATATACAGGATGGAACAATACCTGGTCCAATTGCACAGCGGTTTAAAAAAACCTTGGAGAAATACAAAAACAAGCGGGTTGAGCTCATTGAGTATCAGAGCAATATAAAAGAGGATCCTTCTGCTGCAGAAGCTGTTGAATGTTGGAAGAAATACTATGAGATAGTCATGCTATGCGGATTATTGAAGATGTGGGAAGATTTACGTCTCCGGTAATAATTTGCTCTATTTTAAAGGGAACCAAACTTTTGCAGGGCCATTCTTTTCTCATCACTTTTCTTGCTTTATGTTACACCGATTAAGATAGACGACAAAATGAAACGTCTAGTGCATGGCTAAGACATTATCAGTATTGGAAATGTATTTTGTCTTAGCTGAATTCCCAGGGGCCATTGTTCTTGTGGGAGGGGTGAGCAAAGATCTCATAGAGCTAATAATGTCCTTATGCTTTATCTTCGCCTTCTTAACCTAGGCCCATCCATCAGAAGAGAGGAGGTAGACTAGGGGCCAAAGATACAATGTAAAGCAAATCAGAGAAAGGTGATTTACGTGACTGGCTCGTCGTGCCGGCTTTTTGCCCACGCCTTTGTTTTGATGCTGAATAATATCCGTCTAACCAATATGATTCTCTAGAATATCTCAAGACGTATTAAAACATTTTACACGACTCTGTAGCAAAGAAAAGAATAGAAATATAGGTCAAAAGTACTGCTTCGAAAGCCTAGAAACTTTTATTTAAAAATGTCAAACTTGTGAAACTATTGTTCTCAACATGGCCCCTCTTAGAAGTCTCCGTTTCTCTAACCCTTCCCCTGAGAATTCTGCCTTCATTGATTTTTGACACATCAAAAAGTCACTTGGGTCATCTGCCATCTGCCAGGGACTCAACTCTTTTCCGTTTGTTTGAGTTTGGAGAGCAAAAGGGAACCTGAAGGGGCGAGATCAGGACTACAGGGTGGATGGGTAAAGATTCCCAAGGAAATTCTCAGAGGATGGTCCTATCTAGCTTCAAGGAAATGAGCAGGTGTATTGTCATGGTGGGAAGAAATCAATCAATAAACTCTTTGTGGAAATATTTCTGCAGTTTCCCATGTTTGTAAAACTTCTTCATAATAAAATCCCATGATTGTCATGAGCCTTTCAAGAAAACCTATCAATATTTAACCCCTTTAAAATCCACCCCCCCCCAAAAAACCAGTCACCATAACCTTCTGACGTCTCTGCTTTGAATTTAACTAGCTGAGCAGATCCCCTTGGGCAGATGCTGTTTGGATCGGGCCTATGTGCAGGAAAGATACCCTAAGGAGACTCAGACAAGTGTATCACAGAGAGGACTTGTCTGCAGCCATTCACTGATCACAGACATGTGTAAACGTGCTTAAAATAAGCCCATGCATGAATAAACTGGAATTCTTGTAGCAATACTTTTTTTACCGACTCTCATAGTTCTGTGTCTTTGCTTTCGATATAGAGAAGCAGGGATTCTAAGGGCATACGCCAGTGGAAACTGCTGAATGGAGCCAAAGGAACGCACCTATTTCATCTTGAGTTGTTTAACTCCTGACTAGGTGCTCCACCTTTTCTCTGTCCTCACAAATCCCCAACTCTTTTCATACAACAGGGCTTTTTTATATACAACAGGGCTTTTCATATGCAACAGGGCTTTTTATATGCAACAGGGCTTTTTATATGCAACAGGGCTTTTTATATACAACAGGGCTTTTTCATATACAACAGGGCTTCAGAGGGTCCGTGGAAAAGTCCCACTTTCCTTTCGTTCAATTTTTGTGTAAGCTTTTTGAAGCCCCCTCTTAATTAACTGTCAGCGTACATCTTTTTTACTTTTATTCCCCCCAGCCCCCTGAATCTGGCCTGGTTTCTAAATCATTAGAATCCTATTCTTGGGCCTATTTCTTATGTTTTGTTGTTGTTGTTGAAATTCCTGTCTGTGTAATAAGGCCTTGGGAAAGCAGTAGAGAAAGCTTTTTATTTAGAAATCCATAAAAGGGTAGTATGCTGGATGTGTTGAATTTAAGTACACGTTACTGCCACTAGACTTTGGAGTCTAATGGCATAAAGCAACACACAGATGTTCTCATGTGAGACGTTAGAGAAGCACTGAGAGCCCAACTTCAGGAATGATGGGTGAATTGGTTGGACAAACCCTTTTAGAGTTAACAGTAAAAAATCTGAACAAAATATATTTAAAATACCCAATGTATTAAAAGTATTATCGAAGTAAAATAAAACAATAAACATATTATCAAATGTTCAAAGCAAGCTGCAACAACACAAGTTAATCCATGAAAGGTGGAAAACAGAATGTGTAAGAAATGAGCATCTGTCTGTGAATGCTCCCCAATTCTCATAGCTCGGGAAGCAAACAATGACAATCTCGCTGTGTCAAGTGGCAAAGGACAGAGCTCAGAGCTGGCGGAGCAGCTGGAAATATAGGGGTAGATTCTGAAAGTAAGAGAAGTACCAAAGGGTTTAGATGCAAATGTTCAATATAAACTACCCAAATCGTTGTGTGTGACTGCTGAACTAAGCTGACAAGCAAGAGCGGAACCGTGTCAAAACAGAATCCTTGTAAGTCCAGAGGGCTGGACAGATGTTGCCGCTGCACACCTCAAGGGAAACGGTTTGCAGTTTGATGCCAGACAAGCCAATGCCTGCTCAAAAAACTAACGGACTTGCTGGCCCCCAGGCTCACCTGTGGCAGCGGGGCTCCCAGGCCTGTGGCCGTGGGAAATCCAGTTATCAAAACCGACTTCCGGCAGAGAGATGGATCAGTCACTGTGGAAGAAGCCGGGAACGTTATCAAAAAGCTACCACTGCCCCAAACCCCAGCTCCCGGGGTGTCACCGACCTCACCTGAAGCCCCTTGGGCCTGTGCTTCTGACCCTCACCTGGCACTTGGCCTGTGTTAATGAGCAGAGCCCACCCTCGAGGTTAGAAAAATCCGTCACGAAGAAAGCCCTTAAGCAATGTGATGGATGCAGAAACTCATGCAAGGAGGCCGCCCACCCTCACATCTTCAAAACAAGGCCTGTCACCCCACATCACAAATGCGGGCCACTCAAAGCGTTTGCCTGTGTGGCTGGTGTGCGGCCTTCAACGTGGTCGTCCTCAGGTTTCCCTTCCAGAAGGTTCTTTTTCCGGACTCAAAAGCAGGACGCTGAGGAAGGCTGCATTCAGAACCTTGGGACCGTGGCATCCTTCCTGCGTTGCTGCAGAAGACAGCGACCACGGGCCCTTCCACTGAGATCTGTCTTGCCGTCTCCGGAAGCACGTCAGCGCCCGGGCCTTTCCACCCGCAGCCGGCAGCCGTCCTGGCAGGGACCACAAAAGCCGTTTCCACTCCATTGGAAAGAATTCAGACATTGCTTCAAGACCACAAGCTTCATGACAAACTTACAAATTCTTTCTCGGGCGTTCAAGGTCCCGAAGTGCCAAGGAATCAGCATTACCGAGGAGGCCTGGTGCCTAAGCTCCTCCGGAGTGGATCCAGCAACACCCTGATGTCTGGCCTCCGAGGAGGCCCGGGTAAGGAGCATTTGCCCACCACTGCCTCATCACACCGTGCTCATTTGGTCAACGACTTGGTCTGTGAGGCCTGCTGGGCGCCTCGTTAGCATTCTTGTCTTTCCCAATAAACATCGTAAAAGCCGGAGTGCAGTCCCAGATGGTTGGGGGATCGCAGGCTTTTCCCAGGGTTTTCAAAGCACTCTGGCTAGAACTGGACAGGTAATCTTTTGTGGCCACTCTTTTCCGGGGTGCCCCTCTGGATTCCTCTCCATCCTTCATTGCCTGGAGCATAAGCAATGAGACTTAAAAGCTCTTGTTAAAGGCTATATGAAAGAAAAAGAAAAGCAAACTGACAATCCTCACGCGAACCAGAGATGCTAGAGTTTGTTGTCCAAAAAGCTCAGTTTTCAACCAAAAGTCATAAGACAAAGAGGCAAACAAAAATTAAATACATACCAGGGAGAAAAAAGATGCTTAATATAAAGTGACTCACTGTTGCCCCAGATATGGAATTTATCAAAGGCTTCCAAGCAGTTATTATAAATGTGTCCAAATAATTAGAAAAAAACCCACATGATGACATAACTAAAGAAACATATGGTCTTAAGGAATGCACTGATAAGGAGTCTTAATGGAGAAATGGATCTATCAAAATGAACCAAGGCTTTCTGGTTTGGGCTCCAACCAGACCTGAAAGAGCTGTCAATTGCCACCTCTCCCTCCACAAGGACTAAACTGAACAAGCTGAAACCCATCGTGGGTCCGTGGGAGAACCGAGGTCACAGGACAACAGCCCACGCAGGAATCGGAGCCACAGCAAAGTCAGAGTGAGCGGAAACCTCATTGCCTCAGACAGAAGCCCTAAAACCGTCAAGTGGTGGGAACAAGGAAACGATAATTTTGATAAATTCCTGAAGGCCATGAGACTGAGAGACTGAGAGACTCCTGAGACTGAGAGACTCCTTAGAGAGACCCCACCCACCCATCCTCGTGGGTCTCTGCCCGCAGCAATCCCACCAGCTCAAGAGTAAAGCAAGATACCACGGTGGCTCTGGCCGAGGGTGGGGAATACATACCCAGTGTGAAATACATCCAGAGCATTCTCCAAAATAGCAGCCTTCAGCAAAGCCCCATCCCACCCGGAGAAAGGGAATTTTCCCAGCTCCAGTTCCCTCTCCCCTTGTCTCCCTTTAACTGCAGAAGGTAGGGGGAGAGCCAGGAAACACTTGTCAAGGTCCCTGTCCGGGGAGACCGATCCAGTACAGGATAGATTCATTCTAACGCCAGGGGAATCTCCCCTCCCTGTCAACTTACTACCGTACTTACTGCTGGGCTTCAACGTGGTAGCAGCCGATGCCAGCTCAAAGAGCTGTGTGACAGAGTCCAGCTGGATCCTGTCTGAGGATGAGCCCTTAGAGAAAAAGAAGGCCATCCAGGTACGTGCTGTGGTGGTGGTGAGGTGCCACGGCGTTGGCTCTGCCCCACAGGGGAAACACTGCGCACCCTGCGCCATCCTCACAAGTGTTTCCTCCCGTCGAGCCCCTGGGTGCAGCCACAGTGTCGATCCATTTTGTTCCGGGCCTTGCTCTGTTTCGCTGCCCCCCTACTTTACTGAGCATGATGTCCTCCTCCAGGGACTGGTCTCTCCGGACAACAGGTCCAAAGTACTTGAGGCCAACTCTCA